GTAACCACACCTATTCTGTAATTTCAATGTTAATACCTAACTTATATATAAGAATACCTTAAAACTGTAAATAACTATTGTATATTTCATATTTGTAGCTAATGACCATAGATGTCGGGCATTTTATTAGATCAATAAAAAAAAATAAAAAAAAATTACCAATTATATTACATATTATTAATTTTCACTTTTACACTCATACGTTACCTACATTATTACATTAGATATCTGGATATACTCAGTATCATTTATTTTATAATTATAATAATATACATACATGAAAATATAGATTTTATACTATTTTAATTTTTTTTTTAAACTATTTTTAAACTTTTAAATTTAACTGGTTAGTTAAGATTATAATCAACGTGTATGAACTTAACTAGTTTAATTAACATTTTAAATAATATGGCTTTTCTCGGTTGATCTAAAAAATAATCCATCCAGTAATTTTTTTTTTAATTTTTCGTTTTTATGGCTTTCATAGTTTTATACGTAAATATTAATATAAAAATAAAAATAAGCCAATACTGTACCTAATAATACAAACATTTCTGTTTTAACACTGCATAGTATAGGTACCTAATAATAATATATATATATAAAACAGTGGCGATTCGCGTCAGCCAATAAATACAATAAGGTAGGTAGCGATTCGCGTCCAGGATGTAATAATAAAAACAGCGACTCACGCAACCAACAATAATCTATAGGTAATATAAAAGCAAAATAGAAATCTTTATTACGCGGGTTGGCTACGAAACGGCTTGACCGATTTGGATTATTATTTTTATGTCGTGTTCGTAATGGTCAGGACAAGGTTCTTATGAAAGAAAATTTTAGGAAAAGTATGAAATCTGGAAGTCAAAAATACAAGTGGCACCATCTGTCCACGAGAAAAATAAACATATTAATAATATATTTTCGTTTACTGTAAGGTTGCTATTGGTTATGTTTTAGTTGTTAATTTTGAACAGAACAATTTTTGTAACGCATACAAATCTTGAAATCTACACCGTTCAACGTATCATCGTCACCAAATTTCTTACTGTTATCCCCGAATGTCTGTTGAAGGTTTTAGAACCACTTTGGTCAATAAAAAATAAGTATTAAGTTATTGTAAAATTAAAAAATAAAGCTAATCTACTTACGTATAATTTTATGGGTTATTTCGGGTATTCCCGTGACCGACCACAATAGTATCTATAGTACCTGTATGATTCAAGCTACTTGCAACCTGACTTTTTTATTCTGTGTGTATTTTATCGGCGTGTACATAATATGAATTGAATAAGTAATAAGATATTGTACAATCTAAATAAATCTATACATTTATATTAATATATTTACGTGCTAAATATAAGCTATATATAAATATGTGATAATGGAATGTTTGTGGGGAATGTACTCTGAAATTACTCATCCAATTTAAACTTGATTTTTATTGAAATGAAAGAGTACGGACTAGGCTATATTATGCTTAATTTCAAGGTAATTTTGTAATTACTCACCGGGGTGTGGTCTATGCCTACCTGGCTGGTTTATTCATACCTTGACCGAAATATATATATATAAATTCATATATATTTAACAAATCTTATGCACAACTGCATTAGCAACAGCCCCACTATTTGCAAACAACTATCCACGGGGGCGGAGCACGCGTAACACAGCTAGTAATATATAAAATAGTGGCGATTCACGCCTGGCAATAGCACAACTATTAATAATAAATATTGAAGATTCGCGCCCACAAATAATACTAAGTGGCAATTCGTGCCTTTATAATAATAAGTGGCAATTCGTGCCTACTGCCTTTATAATAATAATTAATAAGTGGATATTTGTGCCTTTTTAAAATAAGAAGATATTCGACGCGTGACGGTGACGGTCTTGCGCCTTTAAATGTGCGAACGGTACTAAATAATTTTCTCAGCCGTGTTATTCCGTGGACCGACGATCCGGTGGTAGCCGATATTGTGTCGATACGTAATCTACATTATATTATATAATTCAATTTCGACACTATTATAACACAAATTAGACAATATAAATAATAACAAAATGGTAGGGGTGGGTGTATAATATGTGTGTTCCAGGGTGTCAGATCGGTCGGCTATGAACCAGGACGGACTATAAATTAAGATAGTGAAATTAACGGTGACGGCTGTATAATATCGTGGCGTTATCCGGCCTCAACATAAGCTTATCGGCTTATCGCATGCAATAAAGTGACTAATTTATCTAACGTACCTCTTCTAAGAGGGCATCGATATCAAGGCGTATTAAATACTTTACTACAAGAGAATAGTTTAAATTTCGTGCGGCATCAGGTGATGCTATTTTAGAAAAAACATTTATAAACATGTAACTCAAAAACTACATATTATATTTCACAAATAACTCAGAAAAATATTATTGATTGCATTAAAGATGAGTTACTGACATGCATCTTAAATTATGGAAGCAATTTTAAATATTACAGTGTAGTTTTTGACAAAACTAAAGATGTCTCTCATGTTTCTCAATTAAGTTTAATATTGAGATATATAGAATATATAGTATAGGTTTTATAAATTGTCACGATTATGCATTTCAAAAAGAAAAAAATATTGTAAATGTAGAAACAGAAGAATGTGAACACCCAAGGAAATAGCCAAAATTAACAAGTGGAGTCTTAGGAAATATTGTTGTATCTGCTATGCAATATATATCACAAGATTTGAGTAAATGTGTCGGGGTTGGAATAGATGGGTGTTCAGTCATGACATAAGTAGCTCATGAAGCTGTCCAACTCTTCAAGACCAATTGTGAAAAAGCAATTTTTAGTCCATGTTCCATGCCTTAAATTTAAATTTTTCTATATCATCAAATATCCAATTGGCCAGTTGGTAACTTTGTTATGTAAACTTATTTGTAATAAAGTCGCATCAAAAGTCAGTTAAATTGACTTAAGTTTGCCTAAGCTATTGAAAAATACGCATAGGATAATTATTGATTTAAAAAATAGATTCGCCCCTCCCCTTGCAAACTATCTTGGGACGCCCCTGGCCTTGTGTATATAATAATATGTTACTTATTATTAATGTAGCACACACTGCAAAGTGGTAGCTACATTAATAATTAAATTTAAAAGATAAAAGTTTTAACATTTAATCATTTATAAATTGCGTACAAATAGCATATAGCCAAAGATTAATTAATTTATTAATTTTTGTAAGAAAATTTAAGATTTTTATGGTGTTTTCTTCGTTTAGAGCTTTATCTAATTCGTCTGACATTGATTGGGTGTATCGGATTTTTTGAAGATCTGGGCAGTCTTGGATGATGTTTTGGATGGTTAAGTGTTGTTGACATTTATTGCATAAGGGTGTTGGATGTTTACTAGTTAAGTATGTGTAGGTGTATGTATTTATCATTTTAACTTTAACAAGCTCATCAATATCTAGTGAAGCTATTCCCTATTACAAGAAAGTCTACAATTTTATTCAGAATTAGTTGTCCCTACTTATTTATTACCAAGTACCTATTTTTCATTTGTGCCAGTTACATAGACGGCTAAGTATCTTGGTATAAGGTTGGACAAAAATATATTTTGGTGTATGTATTTATTATATAAACTTAAACAAGGTTATCAATATCTATTAATGCTATTCTCTATTACAAGGAAGTCTACAATATTATTCAGAATTAGTTATCCCTGCTTATTTATTAGCAAGTACCAGCTATTGTGTCAATTACTTAAATAATATGATTTCTAATTTTTTCATATGTGCATTAACTGACTTTGAAGAAATTGCAAATATTTAAAAATAAAACCTTACTATTGCTATTCATTATTGCTCCGTGCAAGTTTGTAAGAAACCTCAACATTTAAAAACACCAGGATCAAAATATAATAAAGTTAGATGATAGTTTCTTCAAATGTACTTATTGACAAGTCAACGCTTTATCGTAGGGCAAGGTGGCAATAAGACCTCGGGAAAATAAGACCACAGGTGACAAGAAGACCAATTAGGTGATGATTAGACCACGCGGTCTTATAAATTGTCACCACTCTTTGTAAAACTAAATTAAGACAATAAGACCACAGGTTGAAAAAGGGTGACAATAAGACCACGTCATCTTATTGTCCTTTTCCCTAACCATAGAAGCACCACTACAATGCTACATAAGACGAGTATTTCCTCATAACTTAATTGTTTATGAGGACGTCACACCCGCATGTGTTGTCTCCGTCTTACAAATAGTAACGACTAGGTACTTGTCGTCTGCTTAAGGTTTAAGGAATATGTCAATTATTGGTGCATTTTTCATCTTTTTTGATTTGTTGGAAGGCGGGACAGAATGCTGATAGTTTTGCCATGTCATGTTTATTTTTTGTTTATGGATATTTTAATGTCGTTAACGGTATGTCGGTGATTGTTGGATTTATGATTGTTTTGGTCGCATTATCAGCCGACTTATCGACCATCTCGTTACTGGCAATGCCAATATGTCTGGGACCCACATGAATTCTATATGTTCTCTTGTTAAATATAATTCGGTTTGGATGATTTGGGTTATTCAATTTGTCGAGAAGAGGTTTTGGAGTCCTAGGAGTGCGCTAAATTAGTAACTTAGTATTAGTATGTTGTTCTTAGAAGTGGTTGAATTAATTGATTTTATTGCTTCCAAGATGGCGTAGTTTTAGGCAAAGAAAATGGTGTTTTCCGGAGAAAATTTGTATAGGAATTTGGTTTATTTTTTTGTTGATTGCAAAGCCAGTTCTGTGTGGGGATTTGAATGCATCGGCGTAAATTTGAAAGAAGTTAGAGAATTTATTTTCATGAGGGACGTAATAGTATTGTCGAATTTGTTTCATGATTTGTTTTTGTTTTCCGTGTATTTTCACATTATTAAACAAAATGAGTGACATAAGACATTTCTTCCAAAAGAAACTCTAGATAGATTCGGGTGTGTTTTCTTAACTTAACTTAACTTGAGTTTATTATTTTTATTTACTTGCCCACCTTCGGTGTTACTTTTAGTAATTTCTTCCTATAATGTTTGATTTCTGCGTCCAATGATGGTAAGTCTAAATTAAGTTCGAATTTTTCCGAATCATATTTTTTCTTTAAATAATTTTGACGAATAACACCTATATATACATTTAAAAACTGACTATTAAAAAAAAAATTGTAATTCAACAGTGATATTGTAGTTTTCTGTAGATTTATAAGTAGGTAAGTAGTAAGTACTATAAAATATAATTAGAGAGTATACAGACCAAGGATATTCATGCATTAGCGATTTGTTTCTAATTTATATTATTGCGTGCTAAGTATAAAGTGCAATTTTGGCCCTTAACCTTGGGCCAAAATATAAAATGCATACTTAGGTGCTGCTTAAGTTCAATATTTTTTGCTATCAATTCGGTTTGTCCTTTCAGTAGCTTTTTGTTCATCATCCTCACGTTATGCATGTCCGTTTCGAAAACCGTGTCCCGAATATTTTTCGAAGTCACGTATCTTTCGTGCAACGTCTGCTCCTCGGTCTTAGCATCGGTTATTTTGAATTGAAGATCGTTCAGATATATTGTGGATGTCATCAACTTTTTTTTTATAAATTTCTGATATTTATCGGCCGGTATGCGTTTGGTTAATCTGTTAACGCCAGCCACCAAGACGTTCTCCCTATATGTATAATATTAACATAAAATAAATATAGACAATACGATACATTTTCGGAAAACTCGGGACACATGGACCGTATCAATTTTTCACATTGAGATTGTAAAATTGTCTATAAAATTAAAAATATTTGTAGGCATGGGTTAAATAAAATCAGCTATTTAATCTGGAGTAAAATAGTTCACAGCTATTTGTACAAATTTACAATTTTTTTAATTTTTACTAATTTTGTCTACAGAATAAAAAAAAAATAAATAAATAAATACCATTGTTGTAAAATCACTAGCTTCCTCGCTCCGCTCAGAATCTATAATAATAAATGCAATGTTTTCGGAAAAACTTAAACCAACCTACCGATGATAAAATTTAATTCAACCCCCCCCCCCCCCTGAAATCTACTATGAACCCCACGAATTTTTTTTGTGTACGTGACTGACCTGGTACCTTCTACCTATGATAAGGTTTTACATTCTTTGCCGATTTCGTAAGTTTTTCAACTAGAAAACACTAGCTTTGTTCCTATATGTCGATTTTCGACGTATTTACTGAGGTACATACTACATAACTATTAATATTTACATATTTCATGTGAGCTGAATGACTTAAACAATAGAAGAGTTTAAATGTATTCATTATATTAGTATATTTAACAATATTACCTTCATTCAAGGCTGTGATTATTATAGGAGTATTAGGATTTAGGAATGCTCGAGATTTTTATATTTTAATACTAGGTTAGGTTTAATATACTACGATTTGTATAATAATTGTACCTAAATTATAATTTATAACAAGTCGCTACAGCGACTCCTTTCAGGATTTGATATAATAAAGTAATAGTAGTAATAGTACACATACACACCAATAGGTTTCAGCGTATTGAAGTTGTCTATTAATTTCGAGCTCAACGTTGTCAGTTTCGTTTTCAATTTTATCGAGGCTCTTAATCATCTGATTGTTCATTTTATCGAAATATTCATCCATAGTTATTAAGGCTTTCTCTACCTCGGCAATCACTTGGTGTATTGATATCCTGTTAAGAAACCGTACAAATTCATACAAATTAATAATATATACCTAATATAAATCTTTAAACGAATAAACTAAAGCGTTAAATCAATACATATTGTGATATTTTCGAATTATTATCAAGATATTTAATTTGCACACATTTATTTTTAATGCTAATCTTTATCTTGTACTCACAATTATTCAAAGTCTTTAACATAGGTGTTTAGTAAATTAAATTAATGATGGCTATTCCTGCAAGTTGACTTCCTTGAGTATCATATGTACAAGTAAAATTTTCCACGAGTGCATTAGTATACATAACTACGATAATCAAGGAGGTCGTGGCAAGATTAGTTAAATTGGTATTGCAGTTAACTTGCTAGGATACGGTCTTAAAATTTGATTAGTAAACGTCTAAAAACGATTTAAAAATTAAGGGTATAAAAACTTTAACTTTTCAGTTTTCACGTTTATCCAGGTAAATAATATTTTCATGAAATGGACAATGATGGTCTTTAAATCATATAGTACGAATATTTTGAGTGCGAATTTGGTTCGTTTTTAACCCGATGTTACATAACCATATTATACAATAATTATAATCTGTACCCAGATATTTTTTTCAACTATGTCTTTCCTACAATGTTCAACCCTGGTCATGGATTATACAAAAATATGCTTATAATTTATTCAAAGCTTGAAAAATTGTAAACACCAAAGTAGGTACCTAATACCTATACCCGTCATATTACGCATGCGTTTTTTATGCATTCATATAATAGGTATGCACTGCAAGATAAGCCAAGCGAAATGAATAAAATATTTCTTAATACAAAACAAATGGCTCGTATACTAAACGTACTTATTCAATTTAATCGCCCTACTAACAACACTATACATGCTGCCAAAAACAGACTTATTCGATTTCGATAAAATAACGGACTGGCGAATCTTTTCTCTAGATACTCTTGAAACTTTAGGAACGACTACTGCTGCAAGACGTTCTTCAGCATTGAAATCGTAGGGCATCCACGACACATCAATTGTGTCTGGGTAACAAAACATTAACAATATTATTATTACTATAATTAACATATCGATATGACTGTAATATAATATAGTATGGATCAAGAGAAATTAATGAAATCAGTATTTTACTTATAGCGGCCAGCTCGGGTTGTGCTTTTATCGAATTTAATTCTATTACTTCGCATTCGCATCTAAGTAACAAAATATTTTTTTCTAAATATTCCAGTTTCGCTTGTATTTGATCTGGTGTACAATCTAAGAAAAATGTAAACCAACAGACTTTAGGCACAATAATAATAGTATGAGATTATAAGTTTACATCTTGGATTTTTTTTTAGGTTTATCTAAAGGTACATAATATGATATGGTATATATTGGGTCAGAATTTAGTTGTATATATTATTATGGTACCTACTGCGTTTTTATTATTTATTTAATTTCGAACAAGCATACAGAAAATTCAAAATATGATATTATAATATTCTAAGTTATATTTTGATGGTACAAATTAAGTTTACTAGATTATGATTTTAAAATATAATATTTTGACTCAAAACTTAATCTAAAGTGATTTTCAGCTACTATAAAATTGTTAGGTATGTTTTTATTTTACTTCTTAGGGGTAATTCTGAGAATGGTTCCTGTTCATCACTTGAGAAATACCAAGTTGTACCGGGTTCACTTAAACTAGACATTATACTGTTATTATAATATTGTCAAAACACAAGAAAATATAAATAACTTCGTAATGAGTTCGAAATTAAGATTTTTTTACAAAATTTTTTTTGCTTATAGTTTACTAGGCAACACGATAGTTATTAAAATGTAAACACGTTTATAATAGTTTTGATAAGATATAGTGAATATTTTGTTTTAAAAAAAATGTAAAGCATATTTTACTTTTTTATTAAAGTTGGCCAATTTAGTTTACACTAAATTCATATTTTATAATAATTCTTTTTTTTGAAATATGTATACATTGAACAACTTATGAACGTAATATACTTTTACGAGTATATAGGGCGTACGTAATTCTTCTACATTAGTTTTCTTCTTTTGTGTTAATGACTGAGTAAATAGGAAGTAGCTATAAAATGTTTTTCTTTTTCATATAACTATTGTTACTATTAGATGCTTACTTGTAAAATATATTGTAAAGTCTATGCACATCATATTGTAATAGCATTTCGTAGTTCGTACTCTGCGTGAACTCCAATACCAGAGACTAGAACTGTGAGTAAAAAAAGATGCCACTAGAGTTCCAGGTTACAAAACAATCCAAGTGTTAAGCTTAAAGTAGACAAATCATAAAGTTTTAATTGCCCTATGATTATTTAAATTTAATATAAATTATTGACTTTAATAACAAACAAATTAATAAAATATTTAGGTGACTAGTGTGCTGTTAAACTTAAAAATTTTTATAATTATTATTAATAAGTTGTTTTATACCAAGGTTGCAAGGTTCACTAATATTAGAAAGACAATATGATTATGTGAATTTCGTATACTGCATTAGTATATTCCCAAACATCTATTGGACCGCGTTTATTTTCAGTTTTCAGTTTTTTTATGACTTAAACTTTTTAGTATTAACCGATTGACACAGCAAAATTGATTAAGTTTACTTCGTAATCGATTATTTATTTTATCTTTATATGAATTATTATGAAGTGTATATAAAATACAGTTTTAATTTTTCTACTTGACAAAATAATATTTTATGAATTTTTTTAAATTGTTGGTTCTATATGCAAAAAGTTTTAAATCTTGAAAAAATATGCAAAAATATGCAAAAAAAATGTCACCATTAGTTTCAAATTATGATGGTTCGTGGAGATAACTGAAAAAAATCCAAAAATATGAAAAGGAAAAAAATATGCAATTGTATAGAAATCCACCCTCTACTTATGGTCCACTATACAGATAACAATAGAATAATAAAAAAGGTGCTCTGCTGTACAGTAGGTTACAAGTGGGCCACAGTATAATGGATGGTATTAAATTGTATAAGAAAAACGATTCTGATCGAAGACGGTATGTCACTCTAGGTATAAGACATATTATATACTTATTTATGGTATTAAAAAAATTTGACCCATAATAGGTTCCCTGATACTCTCCTAGTTATATAATAGTGTACTTAAGAAATTTCAAGTACCCACGAATAATAATATTATACAATCACAACAAAATAATTAAAATACTTATGAAGGTTTTTTATTATGCAATTTCGTCCATATTTGAATTTAAAATAACTATAAACATTAACTATTATTCTGTATTTTTAGATTTTTTGGTAACAGAATTAACTACTTACGAGGAATCTTGTTTTAAATTTTTAATCCTTAGATATAAAAATTGAACATTTTATAAATGTTAAAATACAAAATAATTATTCAATTTTAAATTTGATAAATTTTGTCAAAATTCGATTTTTAAATGCTTATAAAAAAAAATTGTGCCTATGTATTTTAATATTTTTCAACTGATATTGTAACAATATATTAGGAGCCTTGTATTAAATTTTTACACTTTTTGGCCAACAGATAAAACTTTATAGATATTTATTGAAAGAAAAACTAAAAAAATTAAAAACTGACAATGTCCGTTAACCGCTCAAAAAAAGTCAAAATATTTTCAAAATTGTATGGTGTATAGGAAATTCTGATAAAAACTTTCGGTGAAATTTTCATGTATTGACAGTTATTCGTTTTTGAATTACAACAAAATAAAGAAATAGCTACATGAGAAATCGAGTAAATATCCAATGTTGTACAAATTTGAATTACAAACTCTCATAAAAATTTAATTTGACTATCTTAGAGACATTTTTTTTTTTTTTATAATGGTAGATAATCTTATAAGGAATCTTGTATTCAATTTTAAAATCTTAGGTTTAAAAAGACAAATTTTTATGAATTCTTAACTCAAAATAATTTGCTAATTTTCGTAATTTTTCCATATTTTGTTAATTTTCGAACTTTAAATGATTATAAAAATAACTGTGACTAAGGATTTTTAATATTTTTCATTTGCCTTTGAAACAATATGCTAGGAGTCTTCTATTACATTTTCATTTGACATTTGCATTCAGTGCCAACACTTTTGACTGTTCTTTTTGTGCAGTATTTTTTTTTCTGTTCCATTTTGATCTAAAACATATATGGTAACCTTGAGCCCTGTAGCAAACGATGCCCATTAATTAAATCACTCACTTCCCACCATTGCTCAATATATAAAGTGATAATTAGTAATTTCATTAATTTGTCATGCCTGTACCGTAAGTTACGTTGTGTAGCAACATGTATGATACATGATGCATCTGTCTGGTACTCGTCGTCTTGGTTCATCCCACGTCACAAACATCGGGTTCTGGTCGCATTATCAGAGTTTTATTGGTCACTCAAAAAAGTCAAAATAAGTACATCATTTCAGAAGGTTTAACGGAGTCAGGTAAGTTTAAGGTACCTGTTTGAGATCCATTCATAGGTTTGTAGCGGAATAATTTCCTGTGTAATATAATGGGGCATGGACTAGTTGCGCCCAAAACAAAATTTGTATTTTAGTGTCAGTATACCAATTGCACTGCAAATTTTAGGTCAGTATATAGGTACCAAATATTAACAAGCAAATTGTTGCTAATTCTTAAAAAAGAAAAACAATAGATCAAATAACAACACGACCACTGAAATTAATTCAAAACGAGTGCAATCAAGTATAGTTGATTTAACGTTGAACGATGTGAACTCCATAAGAAGAAGTGTTTATGGAATAATTAAATATGGAGTGTTTAAAGCATAGGTACTAGTTGTAATTTAGAATAATATTATAATAGTCATTTATCAAATTGTAATTATATAATATATATTATTAGGTATAAATTTATAATGTACTAATTGTATTATTAATATAAACGTTCATTGTATATTTTTTATGTAATTATGTAATTTTTTATATTGACTGAAAAAATCAATTTGTTAATACACATTTATATAGGTTTTATAAAGGTATAGATAGTAGTTTCTGTAATAGTGTAATATCAATTATAATATTATAAACCCTAAAGAAATAACTGAGCGCAATTTGTCAATCTACTCAGGAAATATTGAGCTTAATTAATATATTAAAAGGTCATTGGTAAACTCCAAGCCTAAGCAAGTTAATGATAATTTTTAACTGAGTTAAGCTGATGGAAAACATTTTAAATTAACTTCTTAACTCAAGTTAAGTTATTATTATTTTTTTTTTTAATATCTATATAAATACCCAGTAATATGGTTTAAAATAATAAAAATATTATTGAACACAGGAAATAGCCAATAGCTTTTCCATACATAGAATTCAATTATTATTTACTGAATGCTAAAAAAAGCATACGAAATTGAAAATGCCGAAATAAATACAATCTTTTGATTTATAAATAAATAAATAACTTATTTATTACGAGAATATTTTATAATAATATGTTCTTGAGAATTGTACATTTGTGATTTGCATCTATTTCAATATAATAAGATACCTAATATTATTATCATATTACTTATTAGTTGTTATTAGTTATTAGTATTTATTAATTATTATTATTATAATATGCCCATATAGAACAGTATGATGTGGTAAACCTTTATACCTTCATACGATACACCAATATATTATAATATAATATATACTTAAATGGCTATTTCTATAATGTGTATTTACTATTTAATTAAGTTTTTTTTCTTGAAGAATACTGGTTAATTGAACAAAAAATTAACTTAACTATATTTCTAATTTCCTTTTCTACTATTCTAGTAAAGGGTTATGTAATATGCAACATAAATGATTATTTTTCTTTTTATTATATATATTATTTAATTATTTATAAATTAACTTAACTTGAATTTGATTAAAAGTAACTCGTTATTTATTAAGTTTATATCAATTAAAATAAATTAAGTTAAAAATTAATTTAATGAAAATTAAATTTTAATAAGTTAAAATTAACTTAACTTTAACATTTTAACTCGTTTATGCCCAGGCTTGGACTAAACTCAAATATAAGGATTTCGGAACCAGTGTTGAATCCAGGTATATTATTATATATATATATAAATATCCACGTTGATAATTAATTATTTACTAATAACTAAATAATATTAATTACACTATTGCGCACTCCTACAGTACCACACACGTATAATTTCATACTTAATATAGGTATCCATAAAATGCATCTATCAAAATCTGAAATTTTTTTAATATGTAGGTAGGTACAAAGAGGAAAAAAGATATAGGTAATACGAGTTAAACTTGACGTATTGAAAGTATTCAAACGATATAGTTTTATTGAATAAATACCTAAATGTTAATTATAGTGATTTATATAAAAAACAATACATAATAAATACAGACAAATAAAGTGGCTTCCCTCAGAAGTAGGTAAGTACCTATTATATTTTCATTAGATTATTCATAAAATTATATAAATATAAACATCTAGAGGAGCATGACCTGATATAGTCATACACACAGGTAATTAATCCAATTTTTAAATTGTTATCAACATTCTCACTGAATAGATTGTACAGCAATAATTGACCTACTCTAGGTAGTAAGTATACCTAGAATCTTATGGAATATAGGTAGGTACTCGAATATAGTGCTCATAGTGTCCAAGTACCTATACTTTGATATCTTGATACATTTTACA